TCTCCCCGCCCCTTTTTCCCGGCGGGCGCCTCGCGGCGGAAAGGGGGGGCGTGGCCAGCGCTTGCGCCACGCCCACTGTGCCCGGGATGTGGTGGGAGGCTGGTTGGCGGGAAAGCGCTGAGGGGAGGGGTGGGATGGCGGTTGGGCAGGGACACCTCCCACCAGAGCAGGTTGCTCCAAAGCCCCCTCCAACCTGGCCTTGAACCCCTCCAAGGATGGGGCAGCCACAGCTTCTCAGGGCAACCTGGGCCAGGATCTCACCACCCAAGGGGGTTTCAGCATCTTCCAGGAAGATGGGGCTGGACCACAAGGGAAAAAAAGGCACCAGACCCAAGTCACCAAACCCCAGTCACCGAACCCAAGTCACCAAATCCCAGTCACCAACCCCAAGTCACTGAACCCGAGTCACCGAACCCAAATCACCAACCCCTAGTCACCAACCCCAAGCCACCAAATCGAAATCACTGAACCCGAGTCACGGAACCCAAATCACAAAAACCAAATCACAAAACGCAGATCACCAAACCCAAATCACCAACCCCAAATCACCAACCCCGAGTCACCAACCCCAAATCACCAAACCCCAGTCACCGAACCCAAGTCACCAAATCCCAGTCACCAACCCCAAATCACCAACTCCAAATCACCAAACCCCAGTCACCGAACCCAAGTCACCAAATCCCAGTCACCAGCCCCAAATCACCAACCCCGAGTCACCAACCTCAAATCACCAAACCCCAATCACCGAACCCAAGTCACCAGCCCCAAATCACCAACCCCGAGTCACCAACCTCAAATCACCAAACCCCAATCACCGAACCCAAGTCACCAGCCCCAAATCACCGAACCCCAATCACCAAATCCCGGTCACCAACCCCAAGTCACCCAACCCAGATCACCAAACCCCAGTCACCAAACTCTGGTCACCAACCCCAAGCCACCAAATCGAAATCACTGAACCCAAGTCACGGAACCCAAATCACTAAAACCAAATCACCAAACCCAAATCATCAAACCCCAGTCACCAAACCCAAGTCACCAAATCCCAGTCACCAACCCCAAATCACCAAAACCCAGATCACCAAACCCAAATCACCAAACCCCAATCACCGAACCCAAATCACCAAACCCCAATCACCAACCCCGAGTCACCAAACCCAAATCACCAAACCCCAATCACCAACCCCGAGTCACCAAATCCCAGTCACCAACCCCAAATCACCAACCCCAAGTCACCAACCCCAAATCACCAAACCCCAGTCACCGAACCCAAGTCACCAAATCCCAGTCACCAACCCCAAATCACCAACCCTGAGTCACCAACACCGAGTCACCAACCCCAAGTCACCGAACCCAAGTCACCGAACCCAAATCACCAAACCCAAGTCAGGAAAACCAAATCACCAAACCCAAGCCACCAAACCTGAGTCACCAAACCCAACTTACCAAACCCCAGTCACCGAACCCAAGCCACCAAATCAAAATCACCAAACCCAAGTCACGGAACCGAGCTCACGAAAACCAAGTCACCAAACCCAAATCACCAAACCCAACGCACCGAATCCAAGCCACGAAACCCCAGTCAGGAAACCCCAGTCACCAAACCCAAGCCACCAAACCCAGATCACCAAACCCAAGTCTCCGAACCCAAGTCACCAAACCCAAATCACCAAACCCAACGCACCGAATCCAAGCCACGAAACCCCAGTCAGGAAACCCCAGTCACCAAACCCAAGCCACCAAACCCAGATCACCAAACCCAAGTCTCCGAACCCAAGTCACCAAACACAAATCACCAAACCCAAGCCACCAAACCCAAGTCACCAAAGCCAAATCACTGAGCCAAACTCGCCAAACCCAATCACAAAACCCAAGCCACCAAACCCAACTCACCAAACCCAAGTCACCGAACCCAGATATCCGAACTCAAGTCACCAAACCCAAATCAGTGGACTAAGGAGTCCACAAATAGGCTGGACAAAAGTTCTGGAATAATTTGGTGTCTCTTAGTATTATTAACTCCCTTCAGGCAATAACTTGGGTCCATCCGGTGCCTTGTTGGCACCTTCGTGGCATGTCACTCCTGATACAAGGCTGGGAGGGGGTCTCCAGACCTTTTTGGTGTGGAGAGATGAGGGGAAGGCAGGGTTTCTACATGTCCTGTCCCGTGAGCGACTTCTCCGCATGCTCAAAGTCCTTCTCTTGATTTTTCATAGGAAAAAAACCACCCCACTTAATCAAAGAGGAGCGGCTGAGGGAGCTGGGGGTGTTCAGCCTGGAGAAAAGGAGGCTGAGGGGAGACCTTCTCTCTCTCTCTACAACTCCATGGAAGGAGGGCAGTCAGTCTCTTCTCCCAAGGATCAGGCAATAGGACAAGATGAAACAGCCTCAAGTCGCACCAGGGGAGGTTTAGGATGGATATTAGGAGAAATTTCTTAACAGAAAGGGTTGTCCAGCATTGGAAGAGGCTGCCCAGGGACATGGTGGAGTTGCCACCCCTGGAGGAATGTAAAACCCATGTCGACGTGGTGGTGGAGGACATGGTTTAGTGGTGGTGTTTGTCAGTGTTAGGTTAACAGTTAGACTCGATGATCTTAAAGGTCCCTTCCAACCTTGACCATTCCATAATCCTATGAAATAAAGCCCTCGGGACAAGCCCTTACGGCAAACCATGGATGGCTCCTGTCCTTATCACCACCCAATCATCATCCTTTCACGTTAGCCCCAGGGCTTGTTCCCACTGCTGTAAGTAAGGGCAAATCAGGTGTCGGCTCACTCTGTCGGACACAGCCCATAGAAATTCTTGGCAGGGTGCTCTTCCTTTCGGGGCTGGAAGCCAAGCGCTGGAGAGAAAGGAGGAAAACAGCTCATTATGGCTGCCGCGGGATGAGAACCTTCCCCATTTTTCCCACGCACTCAAGGCTGGACCCAGTACCTTGGGGGACATCATGATGGTACGGTGGGGGCTGATGGGACCTCATGGGGACGTCATGATGGCACGGTGGGGTCTGAGGTGGGTCTGGAGGTGATAGTAACGCTTTGTGTCTGCAAGAGCTGAGCCACTGGATGGTGAGGGTCTCTGATGAACCCTAGCTGCCCCATTGAGATTGGGTAGGGATGCTAACACCAAAACGTCCTGCTCTGGGGTTGTTGGTGAAGCCAGGTGAGTGAGGAGGCTATGTCAAGAGGCACCAAGGCTGGGCTGTTGGTATTCCTATGCCAGCAAGAGAGATGCAACAGTCAGGGAAGCAAAACAGAGATGTTATGAACCCTTCAAGCATCAGGATGGGGAGGAGCAGAGGAAGGAGCCACCTCCTTGGCTGTAGCTTCTCCCCCCACCCCAGCAGACCCGCTCCAGGGGCACAGGAGGTACAGCAAGGAGCACAAACCTGAGCTCTCGTCCAGGATGGGAAATTACACAGCTGTGCTACCAAGCACCGCTCATCTTGGAGCCCTGGGTGGCCTGAACCAGCCCAAGGCTGGGCATGACACCTGCTGGGCCAACACAACTGCGTCCATGGGGTCACGGTGGCTTTATGGGTCCCACGGTGGCTAATGGGTGATTTTATCAGTCCTGGTAGCCCTTTGTCACGAACTGCAGCTTGTCCTTTCTAGTGATGAACCATCCAGGGCCCCATTTGGGCCCATTGGCTTAGTCAGGCCAGTAGAGAAACTTTGATTAGCCCTGTTGGTGACTCCTCCAGTGGGTTTGGTGAAACATCCCATGAGGATTTTGGTGACTGACTCGTAGCTGGAAGTGACAGGGAGAGAGAAGGTTACCCAGTCCTCTCTTGCTCCACCTGGCCAAGCCAAGCATGAAGAAATGTTTGACTGGCAAGTAATTAGCTCTTAAATGTTGGACCTGCAGAAAGAAAGGACATGCATTGGGGCATGGAGAACCTGGCAGTGAAAAACCAAACACGTTTGTTAAGAACAAGACTAAAAGACTAATTATAGTTTCTCCGGTTTCTTCACCAATAGACCATGGGGTTTTCCTGATAAGTCATAGTTTGCAGAAGAAGAGAGGCTGGTGGGGTCCTCTGGAGCTGGGACCTCTGGAGGTTCTTCTTCCAATCCCTGCTAGAAAAGGTTGCTCAGGGCCAAGGTTTGCACCTCCCAGGGCAGAGGTCCCACAGCCTTTCTGGGCGCCAGTGTTGGATCACCCTCATGGGGAATGTGTTTTTTCCTAATATCCAACTGGCATTTCCATCCTCCACCTTGTGCCCCTCATCCTTCCCCTGTGCAACCTCTGAGAGGAGCCTGGCTTCATCTCCATCTCCGCTTCGACATTTGCCTTTGTTGGGCTTTGTGAGGTTCCTGCCGGGCCATTTCTAGGTCTGAAACCATCTGGTCTCCACTCTGGATAGTTCCTATTCTCATTCATGCAGGAGGTACTGAAACTACTGACACCTTTTAATACAAAATCCCAGATTATGACAACAGGGAGTGCCTGCAAGTAGAGAGACACGTGCCTAAATACAGCAGTTTATGCTTCATGGAAGGAGGTGCACAGAATTTTGGTATTTAAAATAGCAAAGCTCAGTTTAATTTGAAGTAACATTAGGACCTGAATGAGAAGGGGAATATACAATATTCTCACGGAGCTGGACAGAAGCAGAGGCTTAAGGTGAAAGAGAAGGGAAATTTAAGCACAAATTCAAATGGTAAATTTGTCTATGCTAAAAACGTCCATCCCCTATCCTGACCCATCACAAAAAAAAAAAAAAATCATAATAATCTGGGCGTATACTTACCTAACAACCACTTCTTTATCCATTTCTTCCATCTGCGATACCGTATTAACCACGTGCTGTCACATTTCAAGAGGAAGAAGACAAAACCAGGCAAGGTCTTAGCTTCCTCCTAACTGTTGCCAGTTCTCATCACACGCACACGCACGCTAATCCCCAAGTTAAACAAGGAAAAGACACGCAGGGGAAAGACCTGCTTCCTGCATCATTTAACACCGTGTTTGTCTCGCAGCCCTGCCCTCCAGCCTAAGGGGGACTGTGCCCTGGGTTCCTCTGCCAGCCTGGGCTCTGCTCACCTGCCTTCCAACCAGGCATTCCCTTCCCTTCCAGAGAGGTGACCTTTTTTTTTTCCAATTCTCCACTTTTTTTTAAAATTTTTTAATTTTAAATTTTTTTTTGGCACTGTTACCCAAGGAGCGAGTTTCTGAGGGAAAGCCTCCTCAGAAGCCCACAGGCAGCAACACGGTGGAGTTTGTCCCAGAGAAGAACTGGTGCTCTTCAGCCAACGCCTAGTCCTGCAACGCTCTTCCCTGAGGAAAGGGACTTGGGGGTGCTGGTGGAGATGAGAAGCTGGACATGAGCAGGCAGTGGGCACTTGCAGCCCAGAAGGACAATCCCATCCTGGGCTGCATCAAAAGAAGTGTTGCCAGCAGGTCCAGAGAGGTGATTCTTCTGCTTTACTCTGCTCTGATGAGACCTCACCTGGAGTATTGTGTGCAGGTCTGGAGCCCTCAGTATAGGAAAGATATGGACCTGGTGGAGCGGGTCCAGAGGAGGGCTGGGGTTCAGGGGGTTGGAGCACCTCTGCTACGAGGACAGGCTGAGGGAGCTGGGGTTGTTCAGCCTGGAGAAGAGGAGGCTCTGGGGAGACCTAATAGCAGCCTTCCAGTACCTGAAGGGAGCCTACAGGAAGGCTGGAGAGAAGCTGTTTACAAAGGCCTGCAGTGACAGGACAAGGGGCAATGGCTTTAAGCTGGAGGGGAGCAGATTTAGATTGGAGATTAGGAGAGGGTTCTTCACTGTGAGGGTCGTGGAGCACTGGAACAGATTGCCCAGGGAGGTGGTTGAGGCCCCATCCCTGGAGATATTCAAGGTGAGGCTCAATTAAGCCCTGGGCAACCTGGTCTAGTTGGGGGTGTCCCTGCTGACTGTGGGGGGGTTGGACTAGATGACCTTTGGAGGTCCCTTCCGACCTGAACAATTCTATGATTCTACGAATGCTGCAAAAACAACCCAGTGTGTCCAAGTGACTTTTTTTTTTTTTTTTAACCACTTGCATTTCATTTCTTGCAATGGTTGTGCCCAGCCAGGACCTTACCTTCAGATCACCGCCCTCCTCCCCTGGCATGTGCCATGAATGCCCACCACTGCTGGGGTAAGGAACCAAATACCACCCCTTCTCAAGCATAAAATAAATTCTCCAGCCCACCTGGTCTTTTTTGGGCCCCCGTGGTTTGACTGAAGGAAGCGTATCCCGTAGCGGTGGTGGTACTGCCAAGCACCCAGGGGATGGAGCAGCTCAACAGGCTGGTGGCTCCAGTGTCCCTTTGGGTCCCCAGTGTCCCTTTGGGTGCTTATATTTAAGGAAATGTAGGAGGCAGGCAATAAATTCCAGCTGCTAACCCACTTCAAGTAATAGCATTGTTATCGTTGACTTCCTGCTTTCATTTTGCTTTAATTGCAGATCTGCTCATTTTGGGTGCGTTCTCTGAAAAGGAAGCCTACAACAGAAAGGAGAAGATCCCGTTTACAGCTACAAATGAGCATGTTTCTCATCTCTCCCCTGTCTTGCATTTTTAGCCAAGTTGTACGTCGCCGCGCTAGCTCCTCGGAGCCCCTGGGACACGTTCACAAGAATTTTTTGTGGTGGGACACTGACTCCCCACAGAGCTTTCCCCGCTCTTTTCCCCCCTTCTCTGGTGGAAACCAGGGGATTTCATCCTTCTGGTTCTCACCTGTTCTACAGCAGACTTCCCTGCTCTGTTTCCACTGAAACAATCCTGTTTCACAGACTCTCCCCAGAGAGAGCGCTTAGTAAATCCTTTTAATTAAGGCCATGTTTGCGTCCCTTAGTTACGGAGGAACAAAAGATTTCAGCTGGAACACCGGCCAAAATGTTTTCTTCACGGTACTAAGTAGTCACGGAGAAGCCAGATGAAGAGTTGGCAAACTACTTCTTTCTAGTGCCCACATTGCATATTGCCACCAAAAGCTCATTTGGGTGGCAAACGTGGAGTCTCAGGTGCGTTTGGATGACATGTCACAGCTGCTCAAGCTTTGCTGGTGGCAACACAAATCATCTTGGAGAACCACCAGCTGCCATCCCTTCTACCCAGTCTTGGGGTGGAGCGGGTTAAAATTTGCCCACAGTACTGTTCTAAAGAAGTTGGGTCATAAATCTCTTGGATGATAAATCTGCTTGTGGATTATAAATCACATTAACTGTGTTTTAGCGGTTTTCAAGGAGGTGTTTACCAAAGTACAACCCATGCCTTCAATGAGGTCCTGGAGGCTTCCTGAGGGCAACTGTGGTCCCTCCTGGTGGGCCAGGCAGCAGCTATAAGACACAGCACTGGTGGAGAAAAAGACTGGAGAGGGGCAGGTGAGCAGCTTCATGCCACAGAGATTCTCCAAACCCAAGCCGTGCAGCAGGTCTCCAGCAAAAACGGGTGAGACTGAGCCATGGTTGCACCTCAAAACATCTTGAGAAGACATGACGGCACCTCCCCAAACAAGGGTTTTTTCCATTTCTTGATCAGAAACTGTGACTCCAAGGCTTGTGAGTCCTCCTCATGCTTGTCTGGGCTGCCTGTACTCTGGGCAGTGAAGGAGGGTACCACCTTTGTGCCCTGTGTGCCAAGTGGCATCACCTCTGGGAGGGCATCAGCACTGCTCCCAACATCTTAAATCCGGATCACCTTGCTATTGGGGCAGAACCATAAAATCATTTAGTTTGGAAAAGACCTCTAAGATCATCTAACCATTAACCTAACACTGCCAAGTCCACCACTAACCCGTGTCCCTCAGCACCACGTCCACACAGCTTTTAAATACCTCCAGGGATGGTGACTCCACCATTTCCCTGGGCAGCCTGTTCCAAGGCTTAACAACCCTTTCAGTGAAGAATTTTTTCCTAATATCCAATCTAAACCTCCCCTGATGTGGGCACACAACAAGCCCAGAAGAAATATTCCTTGCCCCAGAAAGTCCCTTGTCAAAGTAAGTGCAATCGATAATTGCTGAGCATCATTGCTCAGCACCTCAGAAATAGGCAGCAGGGTTGGAAACTTGGTACCTGAAGGTGGCTTTTGGATGACAATGAGCAGCCTGAAAGAACAACCTCATATAGGGCATCGGAGATAGCTGGAGCTACTGAAGGACAGGAGACCTGGGATGTCTCCACTGCCTTGGGCAGAGGCACATAATGGGAGCGCATAATGCAATGTACTTTGAAATGAAAAAGTAAAAAAATTCAAAAAATGACACAATGAGTTGTATTTTGCCCCACCAACAGCTTCCAAAAGCCAACTGCAGTTGGTGTTCTGCAGCTGGGTCTCGATCACGTGAAAGCGATCACTTCACAGCCAGGCTTCCCACCTCAACCTCTGTCAGAGAGCGCTTTCTCCTTTTCTTTTTTGACCCCAGTTTTCTTAAGCCACATGGTGAAACATAGAATCATAGAATCATCTAGGTTGGAAGGGACCTTCAAGATCATCTAGTCCAACCATCAATCTAACTCTGACAAAAAAGCCATCACTAAACATGAGCGAGTTTAATCTTCTACTACATAGCTTTGCCAGATAAATCCAGAAACAACCAGGAATGTGTGGTTTGGTTGTTGGTTTTTTTTTTTTTTTATCAAGGCCAATAAATATTCTCCGCTTGAGTGAAGAGGCTTTTAGAGGCGTTTGGCTGTGCTGGGGGAGGACTTGCTTTTCCAACGCGAGCAGTTTCTCCCTTCTGGGTGCCCGAGCTTTATCTGTAGCTGTGGGAAATGACCTCATCGTGCCACCAAGATCAGGCTCCGGAGAGACTGCGATGGGACCACCGCACGGCAGGGCAGCCAGGAGCAACAAGAGGCTCTGACTGAATACCAATTGTAC